TGGAGACATGCAAGATACCATGTGGACAATGGCTTCGGCCTGTAAAGACTGAGTCATGCAGGGACATGTGACTTGCCCAGGTGACTCCAGAACTCCATCTTGGAGCTGGACTTTGCATAGGAGGGGGGTCTCCACCCACAAGACAGAGTCTATTTAAACCCGTGGGAGACCCTTCCATTATGTCTTCAGCTGGCTAAGGAAGGAGCCTCTCCACCCTCTCAGGATACTTGAAGGGAACTGGAACAAAAGACAGTAACTACAGGGGGTGTGAGTGATTGCTGGACCCAGGCTAAAAGGAGATTAGCCTGTAAAAGGGAGCATTCTGGAACTGGTGAGGAACTTATCTGTATTTAGTTTGATTAGACATAGATTTGCGCATTTTATTTTATTTTACTTGGTGACTTACTTTGTTCTGTCCGTTACTACTTGGAACCACTTAAATGCTACTGTCTGTATTTAATAAAGTCACTTTTTATTTAGTAATTTACTCAGAGTATGTATTTAATACCTGGGGGAGCAAACAACTGTGCATATCTCTCTATCAGTGTTATAGAGGGCGAACAATTTATGAGTTTGCCCTGCATAAGATTTATGTAGGGTAAAACGGATTTATTTGGGTTTAGTCCCCATTGAGAGTTGAGCATCTGAGTGCTAGAGACAAGCACACTTCTGTGAGCTGTTTTCAGGTAAACTTGCAGCTTTGGGGCAAGTGATTCAGACCCTGGGTCTGTGTTGGAGCAGACGGGAGTGTCTGGCTCAGCAAGACAGGGTGCTGGAGTCCTGAGCTGGCAGGGAAAACAGAAGCAGGGGTAGTCTTTGCACATTAGGTGGCAGCTCCCAAGGGGGTTTCTGTGATCCAACCCGTCACAACTATAACTATGTCACTCAGGGGTGTGAAAAATCCACATCCCTGAGCAATGCAGTTAAACTGAGCTAACGTCTGGCTTAGACAGCAGTAGGTCGACGAGACCTAGCTACTGCCTCTTGGGGAGGTGGATTACCTATGCTGACAGGCGAAGTCCTCCTGTCGGCATAGGTAGTGTCTTCACTGAAGTGCTATAGTATTGCCACTTGTGACAGGATCAGGCCACTGGGCTACAGGCAGGGCTGGCTCCAGTTTTTCTGCTGCCCCAAGCAGCAGAAAAAAAAGACGAGCAGCGACACTTCGGCAGCAGCTCAATCGCGCAGCTTCTTAGGAGGCACTTCAGCAGCGGGTCCTCCCTCTCTTCCTCTTCGGTGGCATAGCCCCAGGTTAAGCAGGTCCCTTTTCCCTGGGTAAGGTAACAGGGGCAGTTCCAGAACAATCAGGAACTTGCTGGAACAAATTAAGGCAGACAGGCTAATTAGGACACCTGGAGCCAATTAAGAAGCTGCTAGAATCAATTAAGATAGGCAGGCTAATCAGGGCACCTGGTTTAAAAAGGACCTCACTTCAGTCAGTGAGGGGCGTGTGTGAGGAGTTGGGAGTAAGAGGAGCAAGAAGCTGAGAGTGAGTAGACGTACTGCTGGAGGACTGTGAAGTACAAGCATTACCAGACATCAGGAGAGAGGTCCTGTGGTGAGGATAAAGAAGGTGCTGGGAGGAGGCCATGGGGAAGTAGCCCAGGGAGTTGTAGCTAGCTGTCACACAGCTGTTATAGGAGACACCGTAGAAAGCTGCAATCCACAGGGCTCTGGGCTGGAACCTGGAGTAGAGGGCGGGCCTGGGTTCCCCCCATCCCCTCAACTCCCTATTTGATATAGGAGGAGTTGATCTGGATTGTGGGTCCCACCAGAGGGGAAGGTCTCTGGCCTGTCCCCCGACCCATTAGGTGGGCCAGCAGAGACTGCAGGGATTGTTCTCCTCCTTTTCCCAATGCTGGCCAGTGATGAGGTTAGCCAAGTGAATGGCAGGTTAGTGCCACTAACAGAAGGAACCAAACTGAGGACTGCCGTGAACCTCTGAGGTGAGCAAATCCGCCAGAAAGCACTGAACCCACCAAGGCACAGGAAGAACTTTATCACACACTGTAGCACTTCAAAGTGTAGACAGGCCTTAAGAGTTGAACCCACAAAGCAACTTAGGATCCTAACTTCCACTGAAGTCAGGAGCCTAAGTCCTGGTCCACACTAACCCCCCACTTCGAACTAAGGTACGCAAATTCAGCTACGTTAATAACGTAGCTGAATTCAAAGTACCTTAGTTTGAATTTACCGCGGGTCCAGAGGCGGCAGGCAGGCTCCCCCGTCGATGCCGCATACTCCTTTCGCCGAGCTGGAGTACCGGCGTCGACAGCGAGCACTTCCGGGATCGATTTATTGCGTCTAGACAAGACGCGATAAATCGATCCCAGAAGATCGATTGCTTACGGCCGGACCAGGAAGTAAGTGTAGACCTGCCCTAAGTTGCTTTGTGGATTCCACTCTAAGTGCTATAACTTTGGGAAGGATAAGCTATATCGCACATACTCATACCTAAAAGGCTGAATCCCTGCATTAAGTGCAAAACTCAACACTCTCAACTATGGATAAGGCTCTTTGTTTTTGGTTTTTAATTATTTCCCAGGAATTTATTGGGTTTTATTTAAAAACTTGAAAAAACTGTGGGAAAATTGGTAAAAACTGAAAATGAAGGCCATGTGGCAGTTGAAGAAGCCACACACACACATACCCCACACAGTGGTCAGAGGTGTCTCGACTGCTGAGACCTGGCTCCCTGCCCTTCTTTATTCCCTCTGTACTGAGGAAGCGAACTAGGCCGCAGGGGGCTCTGTCCAGCAGTGGGGCAGTACTTATAGGATGCAGCCTTCCATTCCCTGCAAGCCTGTGATCTTTGCTGCTGGGACAAGGCTCCCTATCCATCTCGTGCTCCCACTAAGCAGAGAAAGCAAATGGGGGGGGGGGGGGTGAAGGGGCACACTGGAGGGCCAAAGTCCACAGAGAAACGGAAGGCTGCAGCCTGTAAATACTGACACCCTCCGCCAGACAGAGACCCTTCCTGATTCTGCCAGCCATTCAGCGCAACCTATCTGCTTTCCCTGTTTTAAAAAAATAAATTTTTTCTTGGGTTCTGAAAAGGCCAACATTTGGGTGAAAATTGGTAAAACTCAAATGTTATTTTTTCCAAAAAACAAGGAATTTTTTTGGGGGGAAATTGGTAAATGCCAATAACGAAGAGCCTTAACTATGGAGTTATAACTGGTGCCTCCATAAGTTATGCCTCTACAATTGAGGTTGTGAAAGGCGAGCCACATCAGCACCATTACACTGCTCCCAGCCCAGTGCCCAGACTTCTCTCCCACCCAACAGTCCGTATGCCAACCCCAGAGAACTACATGCAAATGTCAGAACCGCTGACCTCTTCAGTATTCCCTCTGGTTGTAAAGGAGCTGCCTCCTGGTGTTGCTAAGGGTGGAGGGGAGGTACCACTCTCTGGGAATTACAGCGCGTCTGCCTATGTGGTGATCTGGAACAGATGGTGTTTTGGTCATGGCCCAAGCCTAGCTCGCTAAAGGTAGGGTGACCAGACAGCAAATGTGAAAAATCAGGAGGGTAATAGGAGCCTATATAAGAAAACGACCTCAAAATTGGGACTGTCCCTATAAAATTGGGACATCTGGTCACCCTAGCTAAGGGGCATGGGAGGGCTCTGCTAGCCTCTTCCCTTTTCGTTTGGTATTGTTGGCACTTGCATCTACATGGCAATATATTCTTGTCTTTTGGGAGCAGACACTTGGCTGCCATTCCCACAACAGAGAGACAAGTCAAACTGTCATTTCACAAGCGAAAAAGACAGAACTCCTTTTTCCCATTGAGAACTGTTTTTAAAAGAGAGTTCCTTGATATTATAGGTCTTCTGGTATATGAGGTTCACATGTATGTACCCCTAACCGTATAACTTAATTATTCATACAAGGGATTGATGTGCAGTTTGTGACCCATGATTTAATTTTGGATGTTTACTTTTTAAAAAATTTGTTATGCCACTTCAGCTTCCTCAGTGCTAGTTGAGTTTGTGTATATTTTACATAACTACATATTTCTGTGCATCCTTATATCCATGTTACTAGAAATTACAGATTTCATAATACCTGGGGAAAAGCTTTTTCTGGTATGATTCATATTTCCTTATAAATCTTTCCAATGCCGGTCAGTTTAAAAGAGAGTGTACAGTGGATTAGACTTTGTGCATGTTACAACAGCATGCATGCTCCTCTCTCATACAAATTTACAAGTGATTCCTGGGAACCCATCTCTGGCTTTATGTCCTGGAAATTTGAATTCATACATTCAGATAGATCTATTTGCTATGGGAGGCCTAGGTACTTGGATGCTGCAGTGATGGGCATGGTATAAAAATCTAGTTTTAAAAGTCTGCTCGACTTACTCATTTGACTAATGTTAAATAGGATTTAAAGAATCTTTTTTACTTTTGGAGAAAATGAAAGTCATTTTAATTTCTGTACCCTCTGTTCTGTGCTGAAAACAACATTTAAAATATTTTGTAAAGTGGTGCGAGAAGGACGACATTGAGCCTTAAGCTAAAATAGACTCATAGATTTAATGCCAGAAGGCACTATCGTGATAATCTAGTCATAGCCCCATACAGCATAGACACACATGTTAAATGATTTATTTGAAAAGTGGATGTGGGTGTGTGAAATCAGCAATGGTTGATGGTATCAACTATCAGCATGTAGTATAGTCTTTAACCAAGACTGGCTGAGTGGGTCCCATCCCCACTTTCTTTGCCAAGTTCCAGTTACTTTAACTTTATATGTTAAGGGTTTCTGCTTCATAAATAATTCATATTAATAACTGTTTGCATTAAAGTAACCATGTTCCCTCAAAATTTATTTTAATTGATTTCATATTCTTCTTCATAGACTTCATCTGAAAAGGAGTGTTTAGGGGCTCTGGAATTACTATGCTTGTAGTTTAGCGGGTGTTTAAAACTTTTTGAATATTAATGTAGCCAATTTTTCTATTTTTTTTTTCCCTCTCTCTCTTTTAAATTTCAGGTCACAGCCAAGTATGTCATCATCTTTATTACTGTGCAGTACAACGTTACCTACACCACTGGTAAGAATAAAGCAAATCCACCATCTATTTCTATATAGCGTAACAACCCAATTATAAAAAGTTTCCATTTATAAATAATAATGGTCTTATCTCTAACTCATTTCACTTGTATATCAGAGAATCTTTCTTATTTCTGTTTGTCTTGGGAATTTCTAATGTTCTCATCATTATAACACCTAAGGTCCCAGTTCTTCACTAGTGATAAGCAATTATCACTTTGATTTTTTGGCTATAGTTAATATTGCTATTGCACCAAAGCTTGACTTGATTAGGCATGATATGCCTTCCACTTTCTTTTTATAACTTGGTGCTTTTCATACCAAGTAGAATATTTTGTAACTCTGAACGTGGTTTCCTAAATGTTTCCTATTTTTAATCACACATTGTCTTACGTTCTTAAATGGATTAATTTATTTTTGTCTTTAAAAGTACCAGATATTACTTCATGGATAACTATCTAAAATAGCTAGATGCTGAATAATGGCATAAGATACTTCTCACTTTATGTCCCATCAGATACATTTATTTTAAAATGACATTATTGACTTGAAATCTAATCAATATATATTTAAAACATAAAATAAAATAACTTCAGGAACTACACCTTCCCTTGGGTTCCGTTACCAATTTTTGTAGTTGTAATCACATTTTCCTCTCTCTATATCTGAGACACTTCACATCTTCCAACTCCTGCAACAAATGAGGCAGCAGTTCTATAGACAACAGCCTCAAACACTGTACAACTCTGATTCATTCCTAGAGCACTGTCCTTTCTCTGCACTGACAGAGGCAGAGGTGCTGTGGGAAAAAATAGCATATGGTCACGTAATTAAAGACTATATTATAATGTATACACAGCAGGAGGTTGAATTAAGGTTTTATGGGCACCCTTAATTCTGACACTTTGTAACTCTTCAGTACTTAACTTTGCAATCTTAACATTCCTTCAGCATAGTGTATTTTGGGTGTAATAAATAAATAAGATAATCCAACAACCCCACAACACTGAAAAAGCAGAATTTGACCCTAGTTTGTCACCAGCAAGGCTCAGACATTTACGTCCACAGTACAGATGTCCACCATTCGAACTATGGGTATGTCTACACTACGGGATACTCCGAATTTACAGAATTCAATTTTTGGCAACCGATTGTATAAAGTCGAGTGTATGCGCCACACGAAGCACATTAATTCGGTGGTGTGCATCCATGTACCGAGGTTAGCGTCGACTTCCGGAGTGTTGCACTGTGGATAGCTATCCCATAGTTCCCGCAGTCTCCCCCGCCCATTGAGATCCCAATGCCTGATGGGGCCAAAAACATTTTCGCGGGTGGTTCTGGGTACATCCTCCTCATCCCTCCGGGAAAGCAACGGCAGACAGCCGTTTCGCGCCTTTTTTCCTGGGTGAACTGTGCAGACGCCATACCACGGCAAGCATGGAGCCCATTCAGCTCAAGTCAGCAGTCATGAACATTGTAAACACCTCGCGCATTATCGTGCAGTTTATGCTGAACCAGGACCTGAAAAACCAGGCGAGGAGGTGGCGACGAGAGTGCTGAGGACATGGACACAGAATTCTCTCAAACCTTGAGTCCCGGCGCTTTGGAGATCATGTTGTTAATGGGGCAGGTTCTAGCTGTGGAACGCCGATTCTGGGCCCGGGAAACAAGCACAGGCTGGTGGGACCGCATAGTGTTGCAGGTGTGGGACGATTCCCAGTGGCTGCGAAACTTTCACATGCGTAAGGGCACTTTCATGGAACTTTGACTTGCTTTCCCCTGCCCTGAAGTGCCAGAATACCAAGATGAGAGCAGCCCTCACAGTTGAGAAGTGAGTGGCGATAGCCCTGTGGAAGTTTGCAACACCAGACAGCTACCGGTCAGTCGGGAATCAATTTGGAGTGGGCAAATCTACTGTGGGGGCTGCTGTGATGCAAGTAGCCAAAGCAATCGCTGAGCTGCTGCTACCAAAGGTAGTGACTCTGGGAAATGTGCAGGTCATAGTGGATGGCTTTGCTGCAATGGGATTCCCTAACTGTGGTGGGGCGATAGATGGAACCCATATCCCTATCTTGGCACCAGAGCACCAGGGCAGCCAGTACATAAACCGCAAAGGGTACTTTTCAATGGTGCTGCAAGCCCTGGTGGATCACAAGGGATGTTTCAGCAACATCAAGGTGGGATGGCCGGGAAGGGTTCATGACGCTCGCGTCTTCAGGAACACTAATCTGTTTAAACGGCTGCAGCAAGGGATTTACTTCTCAGACCAGAAAATAACCGTTGGGGATGTTGAGATGCCTATAGTTATCCTTGGGGACCCAGCCTACCCCTTTATGCCATGGCTCATGAAGCCATACACAGGCAGCCTGGACAGTAGTCAGGAGCTGTTCAACTACAGGCTGAGCAAGTGCAGAATGGTGGTAGAATGTGCAGTTGGACGTTTAAAGGGTCGCTGGCGCACATTACTGACTCGCTCAGACCTCAGCCAAACCAATATTCCCATTGTTATTGCTGCTTGCTGTGTGCTCCACAATCTCTGTGAGAGTAAGGGGGAGACGTTTATGGCGGGGTGGGAGGTTGAGACAAATCGCCTGGCCGCTCATTACGCGCAGCCAGACACCAGGGCGATTAGACGAGCACACCAGGAAGCGCTGCGTATCAGCAAAGCTTTGAAAACCAGTTTCATGACTGGCCAGGCTACGGTGTGAAAGTTCTGTTTATTTCTCCTTGATGAAAACAGGCCCCTTGATTGACTCATTCACTGTAAGCAAACCACCCTCCCCCCTTCGATCACAGCTTGCTTTCAAAGGAAATAAAGTCACTATCATTTAAAAATCATGTATTCTTTATTAATTGATTATAAACATAGGGAGAGAACTGACAAGGTAGCCCGGGTGGGGTTTGGGAGGAGGATAGGAGGGAAGGAAAAGGCCATTTCAAAAGTTCAAAATAATGACAGCCTTTTGCTTGGGCTGTCCACTGGGGTGGAGTGGGAGGGTGCACGGAGCCTCCCCCCCCCACGTTCTTGGGCGTCTGGGTGAGGAGGCTATGGAACATGGTGAGGGGGGAGGGCGGTTATACAGGGGCTGCAGCGGCACTCTGTGATCCTGCTGCCGTTCCTGAAGCTCCACCGGATGCCGGAGCATGTCCGTTTGATCACGCAGCAGCCCCTGCGTTGCAGCCTGCCATCTCTTATCTCGAGCGTCCCTCCTGTCCTCACGTTCACTGGCATCTTTCCTGTACTTTGATACCATGTCCTTCCACTCATTCAGATGAGCTTTTTCATCGCGGGTCGATTGCATGATTTCTGAGAACATGTCGTCTCGCATGCGTTTTTTTCGCCGTCTTATCTGAGATAGCCTTCGGAACGGAGGAGGGAGGCTTGAAAAATTTGCAGCTGCGGGAGGGAGGGAAAAAAGGGAGAGAAGTATTTAAAAAGATACATTTTACAGAACAATGCTTATACTCTTTCACGGTGAACAACACTATTCACATTACATAGCACATGTGATTTCGGTACAAGGTCGCCTTTTGCATCTTATATTGAGTGCCTGCGGCTTTGGTGTTAGAGATCACAGACGCAGGGCCGGGCAACAGAATTCAGCTTGCATGCAGCCATGGTAAGCCTTTGTCTTTCGGCTTCTGCAACCTTCATAAAAGCAGCACCCTCCTTCCCATATCAAGCAAAGCCCATTGAGTGCTGCGGTTTTTCTGTTAACGTGCAGCAGCAGAAACCAAACTAAACGCCCCCACCACCCATCCAATTCTCTGGGATGATCGCTTTACCCCTCCCCCCACAGCGTTGCTGGTATCAGGGAAGATCCCTGCTAGCCAAACGCGAAAAGCTCAGCGCCAATGCCCGCCACCCCGCCCCCCCCCCCCCCGGCCCGCTTGGCTAACTGCAGGGAAGGATTTCTTTTCAGCCACAGGCAAACAGCCCAGTAGGAACGGCCACCTCTGTCCCCTTCATTAAATTCCCATATTTCAACCAGGTTACCATGAACGATATCACTCTCCTCAGGATAACACAGCGAGATGATAAAGAACGGATGTTGCTTGAATGCCAGCAAACACCAGGACCATACGCTGCCAGGCTTTGTCATGCAATGATACCAGATTACTTGCTACTAGCATGGTGTGGTCAAGTGTCCTACCATGGAGGACGGAATAAGGCTGCACTGCCCAGAAACCTTCTGCAAAGGCTTTTGGAGTACCTCCAGGAGAGCTTCATGGAGATGTCCCTGGAGGATTTCTGCTTCATCCCCAGACACGTTAACAGATTTTTTCAGTAGCTGTACTGGCCACGAATGCATCCCAAGTCCTTAGGGCAAATTAATCATTAAAAAACGCTTGCTTTTAAACCATGTTTTATATTTACAAAGGTACACTCACCAGAGGTCCCTTCCATGGCCTCATTGTCTGGGATACTGCCTTGGGAGGGTTGGGAAGGTACTTCAGTCAGGCTGAGAAAAAGATCCTGGCTGTTGGGGAGAACGGAGTACTGTGTGCTCTCCGCAAGCCTGTCCTCCTCCTCCTCCTCATCTTCCCCGTCCGCAGAATCCTCCGGCATGGCTGAGATTACCCCCTCCTCAGAATCCACAGTCAGAGGTGGGGTAGTGGTGGCGGCCCCCCCTAGAATTGCATGCAGCTCAGCATAGAAGCGGCATGTCTGCGGCTCTGACCCGAAGTGACCATTTGCCTCCTTTGTTTTTTGATAGGCTTGTCTGAGCTCCTTAACTTTCACACAGCACTGATATGAGTCCCTATTGTGGCCTCTCCATCATGCCCTTGGAGATTTTTTTCAAATGTTTTGGCATTTCGTCTTTTGGAACGTAGTTCTGCTAGCATGGAATCCTCTCCCCATATAGCGATCAGATCCAATTCCTCTCGTACGGTCGATGCTGGTGCTCTTTTTCGATTCTTGGACTGCATGGTTACCTGTGCTGATGAGCTCTGCGTGGTCACCTGTGCTCTCCATGCTGGACAAATAGGAAATGAAAT